CGCCGCTCCCCTTCTACCCCTTCCGCTTTTCTATACCTTTCCTCATTCTGTCCGGGACCGACTTCGAGTCCGTCCTTGTCGTTGGTTGAAGTCCGTCCTTGTCAACGGTAAACATTTCAGAATAGGTACCCCCTCCTCACAGAACTGCCCTCCCGCTCCCCCCCTTCCCTCCTCCCCCGCCCCTTCTTCGGCACTTGAGAAGCGAGAGGACAGGGGGTCCTCTCTCGCCGTGTACCGTTATCCAACGGCGCGGACGCGGCTTGGCGCGATCGCGCGGTGGGCCCGCGCGGCAGGATCGATCGGGCCTGCTTTTTCGGTCCTACGACGATGCCTCCGTGGGCTACTTATCAATGGGATCACCGGGTATCGGTGCGATACGACAAATTCGGCCGTACCGATTTGCGCGGAGCCGGTGTTTGCGACGTGTTTACGGCCCGTGTTATGCCCATGTTTCTCCCTGTTAAAATTTAAAGCGTCGTTAGAGTTTGAGCCATCACCCGAACGCAACGGAGTTAGCCGATCGAAAAAATCTTTTATTCATTCTTTAACACGCTCCTCGTGGACATTCCGTTTCGTATTCTATCTTCTTAATTGTCATTCTATCTTGTTGTGTTTGATCCTTTTTTTTTATATATTATAGCAGAATTGGTGTCGTGAAATTTACGACAGTAATAATATATTCGGTTATAAATCATTTAAAAAGAGCACTGAAGCAATATACTTCGTAGATACTATTAACGAATAAATTATTTCGATATCTCGTGAGAATATGCTGCATTTCCTTCGATACAGATCTGACATGTCTGATCCGTAATGTCCGTTTTCTACTTGGTATCTTGTAACTTCAAATAGTCTTTTATTTATACGAGCGCATTATATCTCGCGGTTTCGTTCTTTTCTAGTCTTCATTTTTTCATTCTTTTCATTAGATCGTGAAAGTCAGTATCTTCGCAATTTTTGGATCAACATTCAATTAATAATTGTAATCCAATTAGTCATACGAAAGATCTTCTATATCTGATTTACAGATTTTTACAGTGATCTTCACCTCTGTGATATACAGAGGTGTTTTCTCATTTCAAAATAAATTAATAAGGACGATGGAGACGGATTAAATATTTATTAAAAATTGTTATCTTATTTTACTTTTATAATCTCTGTAAGCGTCCTGAATGAATTCTCAAGCTCTTCCTTTTGCATGGGAAATTCCTAATTTCTTCCAGGAAACTTCCACTGCAGGAGGCAATCCCGGAACGAAATCCATCGGCGCGTGTAGTCACGTGCTCCGTGCATGTGCACACGCATTTCGTTCGTCTGTGCGTGTCGTATTGGTGCGTATACACGCAAGGGGGTACCCGTATCCCATTCGTTCGTTCATTCGTCCTCACATCGGGGGCCCACGAGACCGTCAGGGGGGGCCGCCGCCACCGCCGCGCCGTCGTCGTTTGCGAATATCCGTGCCGTGACTACAAGCCGAAACCATACCGCGCTCGCGCCTCGAGCCGCGCTCAGTGGGGCGGCCGAAGTAGGCCGGAGCACCGTTACAGCCGGCTGCACGGCCGAAGCCTACGCAAATCGACTAGATTTTGCCCGAATGGCTTTCCTTTTCGTTGTGAAAAATAGCGCGTGCGAGCCGCCGCGGTTTCCGTGGCGACCCACTTCTGGCGCGAGCGACCATGCGTGCGATTTTCCTCGCGGACTCCTGCCGCCGCGCGTCCTGGACCTGTCTCACGCGGGCGACAATCAGCCGCGCGAAGCGTCACTGATTATGTTCCTTCTCGAAATTCCACGCGCTTACGTTTTCATGTATATATACATCTGTATACACGTTAATATTTATATTTGTACTCTCGGTAACGTTTAAAGCTTCGAATTATACACGTAAACATGTAAGTTGCGATTTATCTTTTATAGCGGTTCCGTTCGCTATATGGTTATTCGGAAACGCGGAAAGCGTTAATCTCTCCCATCGGGCCGATCCGCGCGTCATCCCGCCAGCCAGCCGGAAGAAACGCGGCGCGGCGCGGCGCGGCGGCACACTTGTTCGCGCGATGACTATGCCCGGCTAAACTATATCGGCACGTATACTGGGGAACGGAAGTAGGTCGAGGCACCGTTACTGGGCAGCCGAGAAGCTCGGGAGGCCTACGCAAGACCAGTCAGATTTTGCTAAGCGTCCGCGCCAGCCGGCCAGCCGCAGCTTTCCTTTTCGTTACGAAAAATGGCGCGTGCGAAATGCGGTTCCCCGTGAATGACCCACATCGGCCCCAAACAAGTCACGCTCGCGCGCGAAGAACGCGCTCTTCGTCCTCGCTCGCTCGCACGCTCGCTCGCCCGCTCGCCTCCGTCGATGGGCGACCGGTTGGGAACCGCTCGATACCCGTGACCCACACCGTAGCACGCAGAACCAGACGCGACCAAACGTGAAATTCATTTCCATACTTCCGTGTCCGGCTGTACGCGGAATGGATCTTTTCGCCTCGTTACGCAGCCGCGACGGACAACGCGTTCATTCGCGTCCCCGATTGAACTCATTTAATTCTTTTTAAAAACTTCGCTCTTTTTTTGTTTTTTTTTAATATTACATTTTTTTAATTGCAGTTGTAATTTTAATCTTTTGTTTACTGAGGATTAAATTACCCCTTTTTACTAATAATTTTGTATACTCTCTCTTTCTTCTACTGTTTCATGTAGAAACAGTGAAATTTATTATTTATATTTATTATATGTATATCTTAAATATAACCAATCAAAAAAATTATTTTTCACGAATTGTAAATTATTGGCGCGGTAAAAAAATTCGTAGGAAAAATCACAAATTATATTGCAATTATCAATTGAAATTTGAAATTGAATTTCGTAATGCAACAATTAAAGGCAGAAACGACAAAGCGCGAATGGAAATGACGTGCTTGTACTCTATTTGAAAGAATATTTTAATTTTATCAAATGCTAATTGTAAGTAGAAAACATTCGAGTCTGACATATTGGATATTACCGAATGAGATGTGAATATTGCAG